ATTTAATACTGTAATGATGTATAAATCATTTTTAACCCTAGTATAAAAGTTTAAACACAAAAGTATTAAAAATATAGCTACAATAATTTCTTAATGGATATACAATATAAAAAGATGTAATTTGTGACATCAATAACATAAAATGTGGGGAAGGAAAAAGTGGAAGTGTCTGAGGCTTTAGCCCTCTATAGGGGCACTGCCTGCAACCAAATTGCTCCAGCTGAAACTAGCTCTCAATCATGAGTATCTTCTCATGGTCTGAAGGCTCAAAGATTCAACCCAGAGAGAAGTACTAGGAAACAATAAAGAGCACACCACCTCACAGGGGAACAAGATAAACTACATTAATCCTCCAGTATTCTAGATCCACAGTAGACAGTGAAGCTACACACATACCCAATACCTGCTACCACAGACAACATCTGAGAAAGCTTATACACAAAGATTCTCTATAACCAAAAGACACATTCAGAACCTATACCACTGAAAGCATCAAGAGACGAAGTTAGATGAGCATAAAGTATATGCAATAAAGTCACAACTTTAAGGGAAAGAAAACAAAAGACAAAAAGTCAAAATAAAAAACAAACAACAATGATAAGAAGAAGCAATCTATGCAAATAAGAAAGAACCAGAAAAATAATCCTGGCAATATGAAAAAATCAGAGTTTTTCACATTTTCAACTCCCCCAAGAGACCAAACTAACTCTCTAGTAATGGATCCCAACCAATGTGAAATATTTGATATTCCAGAGGTAGAATTTAAATAATTATAAAATTGCTCAATGAAATCCAAGAGGAAATTGAACACTAACGTAAAGAAAGTTTACTTTGTGCTCACTTAGGGAAAGACCCACTTAGGGAAATATAAAATGCAGTGGAAAGTTTTGACAATAGACTGGACCAGGTAGAAAGATCTCAGAAAGATCTCAGAACTCAAGGACAAGGCTTTACAATTAACCCAATCAAACAAGAATAAAGAAAAAAGAATCAAGAGAACAGAGCAAAGCCTACAAGAAATGTGGGATTATGTTAAACATCCAAGCCTAAGAATCATAGGTCTTCCTGAGGAAGAAGCAAAAGCAACAGATTTGGAAAACTACTTGTGGAAATAATAGAGGAAAACTTCCCTAGCCTTGCCAGAGATTTAAACATTCAGATATAAGAAGTCCAAAGAAGCCCTGGAAGATTTATTACAAAAAGGTCATCTCCAAGGCATAAAGTCATCAGATATTTATGCAAAGTTAATGTGAAAGAAAAGAATAAATTGTCATAAATACAGGTCATGAATATCGTAGCAAAAGAATAACACTCCAAAGGTGATGGTATTTAAAAAAAAAAAGAGCAAAGAAAGAAGGGTAAATAAAGAGAACCATGAAGGAGTAACTACATTGAAATTAAGCCACAAATTCACTGTATTCTTCAGTTTCAATTTGTATAACAGCTAATCTCTGTAAGAATTAACAATGACTTCTAAGAATGATCGCATTGGAGCCTGAGTGGGCATGTGTAGTTGCATTGTCTAATAAATCTCTGAATCAACATGCCACATCCATAGGTGAGCTCTTAACTTTTCTTTTTTAGATCTCACATTACAAAGACATTCATTTGCCTTTTATTCATTTTAATTCATTTTTATCTGATTATTTGAAAGGTAGTAAAACTATGTAAAAATTGATTTGCTATTACATCAAATGTTACATGTTTCCATGAAGCAAATATCAGAAAAATATCTTGCAGGAAGAAGAGGTAGCAAGGAAAGAATACAGAAATGCGTTTTGATAAAGATCACTTAAAGAAACTTGGATCACATGTCCCTGTAGTGCCGGCTATTGGGAAGCTGAGGTGGAATGATCGCTGGAGCCCAGAGGGTGGAGGCAGGGGTGACCATGTGGTCACTGCACTCCAGCTTGGGCGACGAAGTGAGACTCCAACTCAAAAAAAAAAAAAAAAAGAAAGAAACTTGGATCCAGTTTGTGACAATATGATTTTTATTCTCATATATTTAAATTTCAGATCTAATTTAAGAAAGACTTTTTGAACATTTATCAAAACTGAATAATTAAATCTTGAAATGCTTCTGCTTTACTTTGTCACAGCAAAACAACCAAAAGAAAATGCTTTCAGCCTAAAATTGAAGCAAACTAGAAATGTTATTGACTTATACAAAATTGATCATAGCAATCTACATTCTCTTGAATCTTCTACTGACAGCTACTAGTCTATAATATAAACAAAAACACTTTCCAAAAATGTTTAAGATTAATACACGCCAATTGCCCTTTCAAAAAGTATTACATGTTGCCTATGGTTTAAAAACAGACTATGAACCTGGATGGTCTGAGTTTAAATCCCAGAGTTGCTTCTTCCCAAAAGTATAACCTAGAGCAAATTAATTAATCTCTCCATGCCTCAATTTTCTGCCCCCCAAACTTTTTCTGATTGCCTTCACCATCTAGAAATGATTATGCAACTTTTGGCTTCTTTGCACTGTGTTTGTAACTCTTTTATAGAACTTTTTTTACTCTACCTTCTATTTTAATCATTTTAATTCTAATCTAATCTATATAAACAAGTCTTCAAGTTCTTTGGAGGCAGTTCCTGCATTTTCCTCATTCTGTACTCTGAAAACAGCAGAGCACTGTGCCTGGCACATAGAAACACATTTTTTTGTTGTGAATTAAAAGGAATAAGGAAAAGCACGGTATAAACATTTATTGAGGACCTATTATATAACAGCAGTTACAATAGGTTCTTTCGCACAAGTTATTTCACTTAACCCTCACAACATTTCTTCTAGATAGCTATGACTGTCCTCGTATAACAGGTAAGGAAATTGCGATCAACAGAGGCTAAACACAGAAAAAAGAAAGATCTCGTCTCTACAAGGAGCTTACAATCTAGTAAGGAAATATATTAGTATATCAATAATAACAAATGCAACATGGGTAATACATAAATGTAGTAGTTTAAACAACTTCAAACGAAAAAGGAAAAAAGAATCGCTTCTAGTGTGAATGATATGGGAGGATTTTATGGATGAGACTGCACCTTGGACCAGCAAGGACACTGTCAATAGATGGAAATGATCAAAAGCACTCCAGAAAGCTTACAGTTTCACTCTGACAAACCGTTTCTCCTCTAATCTGTCTCAGGCAGGCTCAGGGATTCCTCATTCCTCAGTTAAACCCCGAAAGACTATATACAAAAGTTTTACAAACTAGGCCAACAAAAACATATAATTTAATTGACAAAAATTGACAGCAAGCTTTGTAGTCATAACATAATACATAATAATGCGCGATGTTTCACAAGTGTTTGTCAGGTGTCAGAAGCCTTGTAGGAAGTGCTTTCCATAGATCATCTCATTTAATTCTCCCAACATCCCATAATTAGTCTGATAGCACAGAAAAGAAACCAAGCCTAAAAAAAGAGCCACACAACCCTTTCAAAGAATCATGTTGATAAAAGAAAAAAATCTAAGACAAATGAAACTTAACAGAGCTTATTTAACTGAGCAAAGAACAGTCCACAAATGAGGCAGCCTCCTGGGCCAGAGTCGGCTCACAGTGACTCTAGCAAATCACATGGCAGAAGATATGGACAGAAAAAGGAACGTGACATACGATAATCGGAAATGAGATAGAAATGGCTGGATTGATTACAGCTCAGCGTTCACTTTGAGCTTGGTTTGAATAATTGGCCACGCTTGATTGGCCAAAGCTTGGCGATTGGCACAAGAGTGGTTTAATCTGTTTACATACCCAGCTAGGTTACAGTTTACCCTGGGAAAGGTTATGAAGAAACCTCTAGGTTGAACCCAGAATATGCAAAGAGGCATATTCGGGCTAAATTAATTTAACAACATGATTGTTGAGCGACCAAGGTAAGAGGTTTAGATGCATCTGACTCCAGAGCCAGCTCACAATGCTGTATGTACAATTATTTCAAACTGAGGAACGTTTGTGTTCAATTTTTTTAAAAAGGGGAATTGCTGGGCTTGGTGGCTCAGCCTGTAATCCCAGCACTTTGGGAGGCCGAGGCAAGTGGATTACCTGAGCCTGAGGGTTCGAGACCAGCCTGGGCAAATTGGCAAGACCTTGTCTCTACAATAAATCAAAAAATTAACAGGCATGGTAGTGTATGCCGGTAGTTCCGGCTTCTTGGGAGGCTGAGGCAGAGGGATCACCAGAGCCCAGCAGGTCGATACTGGGGTGGCTGTGAGTGTGCCACTGCCCTCCAGCCTGGGCAACAAAGTGAGACTCCAATGCAAAAAAAAAAAAAAAAAA